AAAAAAAAAAAAAAAAAAAAAAAAAAAGAGAAAGAAAAAGAAAATGATTTGAGCATATTTCCTTGTACCTCTAAGTTAACTTTCCTTCTGATATATATTTTGTCTGTGACCTAAGATATGAAAGGAAGTAAAAAGTAAGGATCTTGACTATTTTGGGTCATGATGAAAGTGGAAAGAGGTATTGCCAGGATCCCTCCTGTCTGAATCCTTTTGTAGTTATCTTGTGCCGCCTGTGATTCCAAGGAGGTCATAGACTATTTAAAAAAAAAACACTTTCTTAATTTCTAGGGCTTCACTCTCAAATTCCTATCAGTTCTCCTGCCCAGGTAGCCCAGGTTGGATAGTTGGTGAGCTTTAAGGACTCTTCAGCACAGAGTTGAGACTAAAGCCTAGCCTGACATGTCTGTCATGATCCCTGTTTTTGAGGGTGCTGCTTGCCTAATTCAGCAACAGCAGAGGGAGGGAAAAAAAGCATCCTTATTTTTCTCACTTGAATTTACAACAGCTGCCTAAACCATCTTCCCTTCATTTCCCTTTCCCTGATTCTGCCCTAGATTTGCCCCTCTTAAAAAGTAGGTACTGCCTGGATCACTATCACGTTGGATAAAAGAGAGTGAAGAGGGAAGTTGACCCTCACCTAGGTCCCTTTTTACCCTTTGGATTCTTTCCATCAAAATCCATCTCCAGCAGCTCCACTGTAGTTAGTAACTCCATTGTGCCTTCCTTTCATTCTGTCCTTCAACTTAGCAGAAATACTCCTGGCTTAGAGGGAGGATAAGGAAGATGCATGCCAACAACTTGGACATGTCATAATTGGTCAAAGGGAAAAGTTTCTTGTAGCTGTTGTCTTGATTTGAACAATTGGCTACATGGTAGTTTGATTTTTGCTCTTTGACTAAAGTCACTGATACCCAAGATTTGTGTCCGGGTCAATTTGGCTACAGAAAAATCCAAGGATCGTTTTATACTTGTTTATAAGGTTACATACAGTTTAAAATCATTGCTACCTTTTCTAATTCACTAACAATGTGCCAAAGCATCTGCTTTTCTGACTCATCTTCATTTAAGGTTGAGCCCATTACTTTTCAAATCATATCCATCAATTTGCAAACTCTGTAAACTCCAGCATTACTGGCACAACAAAACCCACTTTATCTTAATGCTTAAAAATTCCAATTCATGTTGCTTGGATGTCTTTGAATGAAAGACCTTGTCTTGTTTCATATTACAGTGAAAAAGCTTATCTCATATTACAGTGAAATATACTGACAATGAATGAAGATTAAACTGAGTCCACACGTTACAGAAAACATACAAAACTGCACAAGAATTTTTCTCAAATGGTTTTGCAAGGAGAGAGGGTAAAATGAGTGCCAGAAAGCAATTTACCAATATCATTTGTCATTCTGTGTTCCTGTAATATTCATACGTAAAATACGTGCAGTTTGTAAGGAAATAATGAGTTGTAGTCCTATGAGTTCTAATTTAGAAAATTAAATACATTGAATTATAAGAAGCATTTCATGAATAATTTGAACATTTTTGAAAATTAGGAAACGTATTTATACAACGACCATTTGAATGATCAGAAAGTATAAGAAGAAATTAATTGAGGAAAATGAAGTGGTAATTAAGAACATGTTGGTTTCTGGCCAAACACTATAGATTTGAGCTATTATTATTTTGGCTTAAGTTGGGTCTAATTTAAGTAGTAGCATTCTGACCTCAGGAAGGGAGAACTAGTAGATCAGCGAATCTCATTCACAAAACTTAAAATTGAACATGTATAGAATTAGGACTCTTGCATTGTTAATGATCTGCTGTTATTTACTGTTCTTTGTATCTCTGACCCTGACCTGTCTTAGTCTAATGTGAATCAGCTCATCCTAGTTGCATCCACTGGCCCTTATCTATCTATCTTTCTTTCTTTTTCTTCTTCTTCTTTTTTTTTTTTTTATTTTTATTTTTAACAGAGATTACTTTATGTATAAATAGCCATTAGTGTGGAATGCATCGCATGAGGTTGTTGCTTCCCATTCTTAGGTCATCAAAGCCTTGCAGAGGGTTGACAATATGGTTGGTATGCTGATGGATGGTCTGAAAGAGCTGAACTTGCACAGATGCCTGAACCTCATCCTTGTTTCGGATCATGGTAATCTGAATTTGCATTATTTGCTCTTCAGGATAAAGGGCTGAACAAAGTTTACTTGATTGTTTCCTAATTTCTTCGGAATGTTATAGTGAATTCTTTTGAAAAAATGTAGTTTCTTGTGGAAAGTCTTTAGGAAAAAAATACATGAAATATAAAATATAAGTGAAACACAGAATTCACAGAAACCTAAGTGCTTGTCAAGCACAATGTACCAATCTTCTGATTTGAGAAAAAGGAATACACCAAGAATTTGAATAGTTAAAAAATATACATTTTCAACATTAAATTTTTATAACTCTACAATTTTAGATTTAATTGGAACTGATTATTATGTCTTCAATTGTCTTTTTTTGTTTTTGAGACAGTCTCACACTGTTACCCAGGCTGGAGTGCAGTAGCATGATCACAGCTCACTGCAGCCTCAGCTTCCTGGGCTCAAGTGACTCTCCTGCCTCAGCCTCCTGAGTAGTGGAACTACAGGCATGTGCCTTGACTAATAAAGAGAATTTTTTTTGGTAGAGATGGGATCTTGCTATGTTGACCAGGCTGGTCTCGAACTCGTGGTCTCAAGCTCCCACCGCTGCCTCTCAAAGTGGTGGGATTACAGGGATTAGCCATCGTGCCCAGCCTTCAATTTTCTTTAGCATGATAAATTTGACTTTAGAAGCATTATATATTAATTTCGATAGTATTTTAATTTCACTTGTACTTACTGTGATCTTTGTAACACCCTTGTGTACAGTTTGGGGACTATAGGAGCAGTGTGCCTATAGAAAGTAGAAGATAGGTTCTTTTTGTTATTGTTCTTGTTGTTTGCTTCAGAAATAATTATAGAAATCTGTGTTTAGAAGCAGTCCTAAGAAGTTACATACTAAAGAAGCTCCAGTCTTGGAATGAGAGTGACTCATACACATCCACTCCCAGGTGGTTTGGGGCAAATAACTGGGCTTTCACATTCAGTCTAAAACTGTGATAAGACATTCTTCTTTACTCTCATGATGATATTGTAATATATAAATAAAAAGAAACATTAAACTAAATTTGGGTGATGGAAGAGATTTTGAAAAAAGTGAAGCGATAGGTACAACTGAAATTCTGTCTTACCTATCAGATGTTCAACTAATATGAGTGCTACACACCCTTGTTTAACGAATTTAACTCTGGAAGTGAAGGAAATTCTGCTCTGCATATTGAATTTTTTATTCAAGTTACAGCATGTTTTGGGATTTTTTTTTTTCTCCTAGGCATGGAACAAGGCAGTTGTAAGAAATACATATATCTGAATAAATATTTGGGGGATGTTAAAAATATTAAAGTTATCTATGGACCTGCAGCTCGACTGAGACCCTCTGATGTCCCAGATAAATACTATTCATGTAAGTATATCTCTGTGATAACTTTGAATATGGTCATATTAAGAATACCTTCCTCTAGGCCAGGCATGGTGGCTCACGCTGTAATCACAGCACTTCGGGAGGCCGAAGTGGGCGGATCACCTGAGGTCAGGAGTTCGAGACCAGCCTAGCCAATGTAGTGAAACCCTGAAAATACATATATGATACTATACTATATCTATACTAAAAATATAAAAATTAGCCTCGCTTAGTGGTGGATGTCTGTAATCCCAACTACTCGGGGGGCAGAGGCACAAGAATCGCTTGAACCCAGGAGGTGGAGGTTGCAGTGATCTAAGGTCATGCCACTGTACTCCAGCCTGGGCAACAGAGTGAGACTTGGTATCAAAAAAAAAAAAAAAAAAAAAAAGAATACCTTCCTTTAAATCATTATATCTCTAAACTAAAGGGAATCAGAGTTAATTTTTTTCATGATTAAATCTCCAATGCAGATCTTTTGTACACAAATGGATTTTATGGGACTGGATGTGAGAACACAACTTACCTATTGGTTATTCATGGACTAAGCATAGTATTTGATGAGCTTAGTGCAATTTTATGTTGAAGTATGTGTTTTACTTGTGTATCAGAGTGAAGATTATACTAGAAAAAAAGTTTAAGAGAAAAATCCAACTACATTTATTCAAGTTTAATTAATTAATGACACTCCATTAAAATTACTTAGTATGGGAATAATATTCTATTGTGAGGAGGAATGCTGGCAGAAATGATTAATACTATAGGCAATTGATTCCTGTCCTCCCTTAAACCATTTCAGAAACAATAAAGAATGTATCTTTTAAATAGGGAAGAATGAATTTCACATTCTCTCTTGACCACATATGGAACATAAACTGCCAAAAGATGTTTTAAAATATTTATTCTTTTGCCAGTCAAGTGTATTTCATAACTGTTTCCACCTCTGTTACCTCCCTCTCATTTTGATTACCATCCATGATAACTTTCAGATGTGTAGAGCAAATTTTGTTTGCCTTTTTGATATAGTTAACTTTGAAACAGAAATAGAATAAGCTTTTCTGACAATTATCAGAATTGGGTTAGGTTGGGCTATTTGGTAAGATATGTTTCAATAGGTAGATACTATTGACTATTAATGAGGAAAATATATTTCACTGCAGGAAAATGGTTATGCAGATATATTTACACAGTGTTACAAAGCACAGGCTGTGTATGCCTAATACCAAGTTTTAATTAGTATTTTTTTAATTTAGAAAAGTAGTACATGACTGTTATAAAACCTGTTCTAAAAATTATACAGATACGCTAGGCATGATGGTGGCTCACACCTGTAATTCCAGCACTTTGGGAGGCCAAGGCAGGCGGATCACAAGGTTAAGAGATCGAGACCATCCTGGCCAACATGGTGAAACCCTGTCTCTACTAAAAATATAAAAATTAGCCGGGCATGATGGCACATGCCTGTAGTCCCAGCTACTGGGGAGGCTGAGGCAGGAGAATCGCTTGAACTTGGGAGGCAGAGGTTGTAGTGAGCTGAGATCGCGCTACTGCACTCCAGCCTGGTGACAGAGAGAGACTCCATCTAAAAAAAAAAAAAAAAAACTCTAGGGCAAGAGCAGTCTCCAGAGATGTTTGGGATGGGATAGCTAAGCTGTGCCATACCCTTATCTCAGTTAGGCCCTCAAGTTTCCCAAATTAAAGCAAAAACTATATATGTATATCACTTTACATAAATATATAAAATATATGTATATAAAATGTATACTCTTATCTGGATAATTTTCTCCAATTTGTGTAATGTTTGGCTAAAATAAAATCTGGGAAGCTAGACAGTTATTGATTTGTAGTAGAAAGTACCCTAAGTAAATCCATGGCCTTACTATGCAAATTCAGTTTTTAAATTAGTCTACTTGCCTTCTCTTTGAAGTTTCCTCATACACCTCTTATTTGAAAATTCTAGAACTGTCATTGAATATTGAAGTATACAAAGTAAAAAGTAACAGCTTCCCACCTGAAGTCCTCCTACTTGACAATTCATTTCCCCTGTTTAGAAACAACCGTTGTTAAGCTTGGATTATGTCTTCCCGGATAATTGTGATATTCGAATAATTATTTTTGTTGTTGAGTATTTCCTAGGGAACTAGAGGTACAAATCAGCTTTACAAAACACATACAGTTTTTATTTTTACCCAGTGAAACCATACCAGATCTAGATGGATAGATACTTTGAGGGATGGATGGATATTGGTTACTAACGGGATGGAAAGATGATTGGACAGGTGGATGGATAGTTAGATGGATGAATGGACATGTGGGTTATCAGATGGATGGATACGTAGATGTTCTGTAACTTGTCTTTCCATTTAACAATATGACACTATATCATGGGTGTCATTACAGGGTGATACCTAAAGGTCTGTCTAATTCCTTTCAGTGGCTACAATGTAATGACTTAAATGAACTCTTTAAAACCTGCCTTGGTGTTTAAATATAGAGTTTGGATCTGACATTCTACATTTTTGTATTATGTTTTAGTTATAGCATACAATCAACTATTAATTCTTATGTTTGTTCCCCTCCAGTTAACTATGAAGGCATTGCCCGAAATCTTTCTGTGAGTATCTTTATTTTCCATTATCTAGTTATTTTTAGTTTTGTATAATATATACAGAGAAAAGTTTCAGCATCTATTATTGGGATTGAAGGATTAGAATATTTTAGGCCGGGCACGGTGGCTCACGCCTGTAATCCCAGCACTTTGGGAGGCCGAGGCGGGCGGATCACAAGGTCAGGAGATCGAGACCATGGTGAAACCCCGTCTCTACTAAAAATAGAAAAAATTAGCTGGGCGCAGGGGCGGGCGCCTGTAGTCCCAGCTACTCGGGAGGCTGAGGCAGGAGAATGGCGTGAACCCGGGAGGCGGAGCTTGCAGTGAGCCGAGATTGTGCCACTGCACTCCAGCCTGGGCGACAGAGCGAGACTCCGTCTCAAAAAAAAAAAAAAAAAAAGAATATTTTAGTAACCTGGGCCAACATGGAAATGCTGTGTAGTTTAAAGATCTTTAAGGTTGTGTCCCAATAATGTAGATTTGAAAATTTTTAAAGAATTTATCTATTGGCATTATGAAATGTATATGAGAAGAAGAAATAATTTTAAAACTATTTACAAGAAATAATTTTTAAAGTAGAAGGAAAAACCGTATGGCTGTACCACCATAAACACCATTAGCATTATGATATATTTCCTTCCAGTCTTTTTTTATGCCTTAAAAAATAAGTTTTTATACTAGTGCTGAGTTATCTATACTACATTTTATACTCACACATTTTAAATCTGCAAGAAAACTCTTAAATTGCAGTTATAAGGATGTTTGAAAATAGAACCATCAGTGGTAACTTAATATAATCTAGTGACACTATCTGAGTTCTGGGGCTTTTATGCAGTAATAATTATGATTTCCTCTAAATGTTTCAAGTAGTTTGGAAGATTTACCTTTTACATTATACAAATAGTAAGAACTTTTAGCTGTTTTTTCATCTGACTTATTGGGCCGGCTGATGAAATGTTTGTGAAAAAAAATTTCATGTGAAGTTAGAAAGCAATTTCAAGAAAAGTTAACACTTTAGATAACAGGGAAATAATACTTTTTCTTTGCTGTTTGCAATTTCAGTGCCGGGAACCAAACCAACACTTCAAACCTTACCTGAAACATTTCTTACCTAAGCGTTTGCACTTTGCTAAGAGTGATAGAATTGAGCCCTTGACATTCTATTTGGACCCTCAGTGGCAACTTGCATTGTAAGTTCTGACAGTGTCCCAGGTAAACTTAACCTGATCGGTTAGTGATTCAGGGTAACCACTGGGCCCTTTCTAACAATATTGTTATGTGAAAACTGTAGAAGTATGATTCTCTTCACTCTAACTCAGGATTTCTAATGTCGGCCTATGGATGTTTGAGTTAGATAATTCTTTGTTGTGGAGAGCTGTCCTGCACATTGTGGGATATTTGACAAGGATCCTTTACTTCTCCCCACTGGATGAAAGTAGCACTTCTTCTCTAATGTGACAACCAAAAATGTCCCTCAGCATTGCCAAAAGTCCCCTGGGAAGGAGGGATCACCCAGACCATCCTTGGCTAGGAATCACTGGTCTGGCTTTTCATATCTATATTGATTACTTCTTACAATCTACATTTGTTACCACTTGCCATTGCATGTCTTCTACACATTACAGTATGTCTAATTGTGCCGCCAAAGCCCAGCCAACAGTTGGTAAAAGCACTTTACTTTATAATAATGAGTAACTATCTTCATTATACACAGTTGTTTTTTCATTCTTCTCATACTAATCCATCAATAAACTTTAGTTTATTGGTGTGTTTGGCAAATTATTTGGATGGTTAATAGTGTTAATATCTCACAATTTGTTCATTAACTGTTTTGGTGGTTGCCAAGAAGCCAGTCATGATACATAACCCTGTCAAGCAAAACCTAAGCAGTGAACCAAAATTCAGTAAACAGAATTATACTGTCTCCACTCTTACTGGAGAGCTGGGCTTTTCATTTTCAAAAAAAAAAAAAAAGAATATGAAAGGAGAAATGGTCCTATCTTCATGAGAGTACTAATATTTAGTAAATATCTAAACACCATGTTGCAAGCATTTCTTTAGGCTACATCATTGAATTTTTACAAATAACCAACATGAGAAATTGAAATCAAAGATGATAGTTAAATCTATCTAAATTCACGGGTAGTTAATCACTCAGCCAATGTTCAAAACCACTTCTGTCCTGATGCTAGTGGTTTTTCTTCTGTCTACTATATTGCTTATAGTTTGTTTGTCCATGAAATAAAAGATAGAAGTGACTTCTTAATGCTTTTCAAAGCCAGGTGGTTTTATTTACCCGTTATGTTGGTTTAACAAAATAGTTACATACTTTTTATTAATGAAAATAATGTTATGTTTTATGAAAGGACTTTACATTTTTAATTCATATATGTCAACAATAGGAATCCCTCAGAACGGAAATATTGTGGAAGTGGATTTCATGGCTCTGACAATATATTTTCAAATATGCAAGTGAGTAAACCTATTATACTTAATTGAATTGAATCTAAAGAAAAAATGATATACAAAGTTTTACATTTGAAAACAGACTGTGATTATGTCTTGAATGAGAATTAATGAAACATACTTTCATAAAGCTATTTTTCTTTGAACATTAAAGAATTTTGTTAAAATTTTATATTCATTGGCTATTACTAAAAAGTCAAAAAACAACAGATGTGGCAAGAATGTGGAGAAAAGGGAATACGTATACACAGTCGAAGGGAGTGTAAGTTAGTACAACTTCTGTGGATCACTGTATAGAGATTTCTCAAAGAAATAATAATGAAACTACTCCTAATCCAGCAATCCCACTACTGGGTTTTCCCAAAGGAAAATAAATCATTTTATCAAACAGACACCTGCACTCGTATGTTTATCGCAGCACTGTTCACAGGAGTAAAGTCATGAAATCAACCTAAATATTTATCAATGGAGTATGGATTAAAAATGTGGGGTGTGTGTGTGTGTGTGTGTGTGTGTGTATATATCGTGGAATACTGCTCAGCCATAAAAAGGAATGAAATCATGTTCTTTGAAGCAACATGGATGGAATTGGAGGCCAATTATCCTTAGTGAAATAACTCAAACAAAAAACTAAAAACCACATGTTCTCACTTGTAAGTGGTAGCTAAACAGTAGGCACACACGGATGTACAGAGTGGAATAATAGATATTGGAGACTCCCCAAAGGTGGGAAGATGGGAGGAGTGTGAGATATGAAATACCACTTACTGGGTTCAATGTACACTGTTCTGGTGATGGGTAACACTAAAAGCTCAGACTTCACCACTATGTGATATATCCATGAAAGATAACTGTACTCATACCCCTAAATCCATAAAAATTAAAAAATTAATAAAATTTTATATTCATGTTTCATAAGCATATGACGTATCTCCTATTATATTTCTAATAATTATTTTTCATGTTTTTTGTGCTCTGTTAAGAATATTGCTTTACAGTTAAGAAAGCTAGTGATAGATAAAGTATCATATTTACATTCTTAGAAGAGATAATATCTTACATTTACCCAGCACTTTAATGTTTTCAAAATAAACTTATAGTAATTTTCTAATTTGATCCCTGCAGCACTGTGTAAGGTGGGCAGGGTGAAGTTTATATTCAATGTCATAGATGAAAAAAAAAATTATCATTCATTCTGTTCTGATTGTCAAGTCAAGAATTGTAGTAAAACTAAGAGACATATCCTAGATGTTCTTAGATTATATGTGTGATAGAGTTAAAACTATATTTCCCACAAAGTCCACTGAGCATGGTAGTTTTCCTCTTATCTTATCATAACCAGTTTGTATGTGTACAATTTGGATAACAGAGTTTTTTGGACTAACCTGCAGACAGCTGAAATGCACTGATAAACTTCCTTTTTTGGCCATCTAGGCCCTCTTTGTTGGCTATGGACCTGGATTCAAGCATGGCATTGAGGTTGACACCTTTGAAAACATTGAAGTCTATAACTTAATGTGTGGTAAGTGTGAACAGGTGGCTTTTTTCCCTTCTGAAAACAGACCTGAAATAAGATTGTCAAAAGCAGGTCACATTGTAGGCACCTTTGTGGAGAGGACGGTGAGGCAAGACAGATTTTTACCTTCTTCCTGACTCGGACTCACTGAAGAAATATGGGGAACATGTCATCTTATTACTTATCTGTTTGTTCCACTAGGCTGCTTGCTGGTTAAAGTACACCACTCACAGCAGGGTGGTCTGCACACCCCCAGTGCTCAGCACTTTTCTAGACCCTCAGCTTAATTATTTGATTCCTGACTCAGAGCAGTGATAGAAGCCAGAGAAAAGACATTGAGGGCAGTGAAAGGTGGACAAAACTTGTGGAACTTCTGGTAGCCATAATGGTTGAATGTAAGTCAATGTCAAGGTTGTAGAAATGACGGAGGACACATTAGGGATATTCTTGGTTTACTTTGTACCTTCTGAAGTAGTCCTTTTATAGTGAAGCATTGTGTTTTAAATATTAATTTCTTATTCTCATAATGGTCCTAGGCATTTACAAAACCTTAAATATGTCTTAACTATAATTCTTTTGGTGGGAGTCTATATAGTTTAAATGAGTTAATATATCCTAAAATACTTAAAACAGCACCTGGCATATAGTAAGTGCTTACTACATAAGTATTTGCTGTTATCACATTTAAGAGCATGAGTCTTAGACTCAGACAAAGATGGTTTTTAATTCTAGATCGTTCAGTTAGTAACTTTGAGACTTGGGCAAAACACTTTGATTACTCATCTACCAAATATTGATGATAACTTATAAAATTGTTTTGGGGAATAAATAAGAAAATATGTTAGCACCATGATTGGCAGAAAATATGCATTCAACAGGTGGTGACTAGTTATTGTACACTTTAAAAATCAGAAATTTTGTACTGAAATACAGCATATACATATCAGTACTTCTATTAAAAAGAAGCTAGTCTTAAATACTCTAAAACTCAGGAGAGTTTTATACTTTTCTTTTAGTTAAAGAGTAAAGGACTCATGTATTTGGTTTTAAAAAAGTAAAGATCATGGCACAAGTCTACTATTTGTTTGATTTGAAACATCTAAGTAACTCTACCATTCTTGAAATGATGCAGATTTACTGAATTTAACACCGGCTCCTAATAACGGAACTCATGGAAGTCTTAACCACCTTCTAAAGAATCCCGTTTACACACCAAAGCATCCCAAAGAGGTGCACCCCCTGATACAGTGCCCCTTCACAAGAAACCCCAGAGATAACCTTGGCTGCTCATGTAACCCTTCGGTAAGTATTGTCAGGAAGTTTGGTCCAGTATGTATGGTTTGATAGCACCCTCTGCACAGCATGTGCTGTAGAAATACTTAATAATCAAATTAGAATTTAGGAGTGGGGGTAGGTAAACATATAGTTTAATCCTAGGGGGCACATGCAGATCTTTTGTAATATTTCTTTTCTCTTTCTAGTTTTTGCATTTTATGCTCTTATTTTTAATTCCTTGGAGCTGTGACTTGACTTGGGTGCAGATGTGAAGAAGTCTAGTTCAGTTCTTGAGCCTCCTGTATTAGGGAATCTGTACTGTTACTCTAGCAGTGAGGTCATGAGCACATAGGAAACCAATCACAATGTACCTTTTTAAAAATACAATTCAGGTTGTTTAAGTGTAGGGAGGAAAAAAGATTTCTTGGTATGAAATGAATATATTACACTGTCCTTTTTTACTTCCATGTTAATATATCATTATTATAAAAAGATAAAAATGCTAGACGAGTTATGAACAAAATTGATAACATCCATAAGCGGGCACCTGTAATCCCAGCTACTTAGGAGGCTGAGGCAGGAGAATCGTTTGAACCTGGGAGGCAGAGGTGGCAGTGAGCCAACATCGCACCACTGCATTGCAGACTGGGCAACAGGGTGAGACTCCGTCTCAAAAAAATATATATATACACACACACACACACACACACACACGTGCACACATATATACAAAAACATATATAAATATATATCTATAAAATATAATATTAAAAATATAATATAGAAATATAAATATATAAATGTATTTTGATATATATAAAAAATATACATATATACACTATATGTGTGTATATATACACTATATATGTGTATATACACTATATATGTGTATATATAGCAATTTGGAGAGTAGTTTATTTTATGCTTTACATTTTGTTTTAGACTTGAGTTAGACTAGAAGAAAGACTTGGGGTACCGAGATAAGAATTACAAAGCAGCAATCATATTCTTATTTTTTAATTACTGGCGTAATGCTGGTATACTAACAATAATGTTAGTATACTAACAATAATGTTAGTATACTAACAATTTTGTCTTTTGCAACTGTCATTCCTCTCCTCTGTCCTGTTCATCAAAAAAGTAACTTCTGTCCAGGCATAGTGTACCACACCTGTAATCCCAGTACTTTGGGAGGCCGAGGTGAGAGGATTGCTTGAGACCAGGAGTTCAAGACCAGACTGGGCAACATAGGGAGACCCCATCTGTACAAAAAGCTAAAAAAATTAGTTGGGCATGGTAGCATATGCCTGGAGTCCCATTTACTTGGGAACCTAGGTGGGAGGATTGCTTGAGCCCAGTAGACCGAGGCTGCAGCGAGTCATGATTGCACCACTGCACGCCAGCCTGGGTGAAAGAGCAAGACTCTTGCCTTTAAAGAGAAAAAAAAAAAAAATCCACTCATACAAGACTATTGTAAATGATCTTTGTTCTATGTTGGGATAATCAATCTATAGCAGTTCTGTGTTACAAAAATTAAAACATGTCTGTCAGTCCTTAAAAATAGTTTTATAACCTTTTTTAGATTTTGCCAATTGAGGATTTTCAGACACAGTTTAATCTGACCATGGCAGAAGGTAAGGCATGCTACCCTCAAGCTTGGAATGTGAAACAGTTTTCTGATCAGTGTGAAATGCAGAGAACTGGTTTGGGGGACATTATTTGAGAATAACCAATAAAATAAAGGGAGTTCTGGAGGACCACCTGATGAAACATAGAGGTTTCTTTGCTTGACAGTTTAGACTGTTAGACATAAGGAAAGAAGAGATATTTTGCAGTGGATATTGTATGTAACGTATTTAGTGGAAGCTGAGTCACAGTTTATGAGCATAATGGAGGTGTTCTGAAATTTTTGACGATTTCTATAGGTTGATAGTAGAGACTCAGATTCCCATTTGAAATATCTAAGTTTCTATCTCACCTGGTTCTTAGTTAATCATACAAGGTTATATATTGATTTATTGATCTAAAGCTATTTCTTCATCACTTTTGACCCAAAATCAAGGATATACAGACAACTGATGAAATTTTTCAATTATGACTTGAATGTTTGGAGTCACTGTAATACACTCTCTCATCCTTATGTTACCTGGCACACTTTTTTTTTTTCTTTCTACTAGAATAAAGAGGTAAATTCTGTGTTAATTCTGATATGAGCTTGTCTCTGTAAAATCCCTAGGATATCTTCAAGGTGGCAAAGTATTGTAGTGAATGGTGGCACTTTCAGAATTGAGTAGATCCAAGTTTGAATATGAGCTTAGGTACTATATGTTCATGGAAGGAGTATTCCCTGTCAGCTGCTGTTTCCGCATCTGTAAAATGGGCATAAACCTTAATTCATATGGAAATGTAAAAATTAGTTATATGATGTGTAGCAAGCACTTGACGTTTGGGAAAAGGGCAATAAATAATATCTATATTGTTATTGTTTTATTTAGTTTAATCTCATAGTTTCAATTCTGAACTTCTGCTTTCCAAGTACACATATCATTTAAAAAATTTACTTTCTGGAGTGTGTCCTAAAGAATAAATAATTAAAATAATGCTTAAGAATTTTTGATAATATAACTTTGAATTAACTGGAATATTCAGCAATTTCATGTAGTGTCCTCATGGTATCTTGATATTACATTGATTTCAGAATCTTTATAGGCAAAAATTACAGTGAATCTCACGTGTCTTCTTAAGTGTTTATGCTTCTACCCTTTGTAATCAGTTTTTTTAATAGTTAAAAGTAAATCTTCAATATGGTTAAGTAGAAGAAAGGATTAGATGAGGGTATCACACTATATATTATCGTATAATGCACACTAACTAAATTTATTTATTTTCATCCTATGACCCAAGAGAAGAATATTAAGCATGAAACTTTACCCTATGGAAGACCCAGAGTTCTCCAGAAGAAAAACACCATCTGTCTTCTCTCCCAGCACCAGTTTATGAGTGGATACAGCCAAGACATCTTAATGCCGCTTTGGACATCCTATACCATGGACAGAAATGCAAGTATTTGTCACCTCTTCATGTGTGGCTATTTCAAATTAATGATTAAGCAGAACGTTGAATGCATAGTTTCTCACTGTTCACCTTGGCTTTATACTCAGTTCCTGCATTAGTGGAACACTGAACAGGGAGTCAGAAAAATTCAGTTCCAGTTCAAGCCCTGCCACTGAGCAACTGCATGACTTTGAGAACTCAGACCAAATTTCTTCTGTGAAATGAGAGTTGTGCAGTAAAGAATTCTCTTTTGGGCCGGGCGCAGTGGCTCACACTTGTAATCCCAGCAATTTGGGAGGCCGAGGCGGGTGGATCACAAGGTCAGGAGATCGAGACCATCCTGGCTAACACGGTGAAACCCTGTCTCTACTGAAAATACAGAAAAATTAGCCGGGCGTGGTGGCGGGCGCCTGAAGTCCCAGCTACTCAGGAGGCTGAGGCAGGAGACTCCAGCCTGGACTATAGAGTGAGACTCCGTCTCAAAAAAAACAAAAAAAGAAAAAGAAAAAAGAAAAGAATTCTCTTTTGCCTCCCTGACCCCAATTTTAATATTTTATGATTCCAATTTATAATTGCATGAAATCAGCCTTAGGATCAGTCACAGTTACCCATTTCTAAATACATGGCTGTGTGAGGACAAGTATTTCCCTCAGCTGTTCAAATCTAAGGGAGCCCTCACTGTTTGGCAAAGCCATTAAAGCTCAGTAACATCATTGCATGTACCATCTATAGGAAGACATGAGCCCAAACCAGGGAGAGGCCAGAATCCTGCCCACCACCACCACCAGAGGAGTTAGGCCTTGAAAAGAGTGAGGGCAAATATCCCAGAATAAAAGCCGCCTTCCCCCTCACTCATGGCTGCCTGGGTGCTCTGGTAGAAGAAGGAATGGTGAAGGAGATGGTGCTGGAAAGAGAGAAGGGGGAAGATGAGATTTTGGTCTTACGTGGAATTGAAATTTTAAACTGGGATGAAACTGAAAGTGACTGGCAAGGTACAGGATGCCCTAAGGGAACGACAAAGGGATTTGAGAGAGCATAGTGGAGGGCAGCAATTTGATTTAAAAAATAAAATTATTTTTACTAATCAGTGAGATGGCCAAATAAAAAGATAGGGAAATGTCTGTTTATGTATAATTTCTATGTTCCAAATATATAATACACACATATATTTATATAAAGTTTCTTGAACGTTGATTTTTAAAATTTTTCAAGACTGTCTTCAAACACCAAACACTTAAAAAAATTTTTGACTTTCTGATTCATCAGTCTACACTACTTTTTATAGGCACCCCATCCTATTAATATTTATACCTTAATTATGGTGTTCCTTGATTTCATTTTCAGTTTTCTTATATAATTAAAATGCATGACTTTACAGTCATTGCGATGCTTGAGGTTTTTGCGTTGCTGTTCAGTGACTCTTCTCCCTTGCTCCAGCGACTTTTGGCAGTGTAGTTGGCTATGGAAGATAGACTCAGATCTCTAAAAATCAGCATTTTACTATATAAAGGCTTAAAATTGGCCAGGTGTGGTGGCTCACACCTGTAATCCCGACACTTTGGGAGGCCGAGGAGGGCGAGTCACGAGGTCAGGAGATCGAGACCATCCTGGCTAACACGGTGAAACCCCGTCTCTACTAAAAATACAAAAAATTAGCCAGACGTGGTGGGTCACACCTGTAATCCCAGCACTTTGTGGGGGCTGCGGCGGGTGGATCACCTGAGGTCAGGAGCTCAAGACCAGCCTTGCCAACATGGTGAAACCCCATCTCTACTAAAAACACACAAATTAGCTAGGTGTGGTGGCAGATGCCTATAGTCTCAGCTACTCGGGAGGCTGAGGCAGGGGAATTGCTTGCACCTGGGGAGCAGAGTTGCAGTGAGCCGAGATTGCGCCACAGCATTCTAGCCTGGGTGACAGAGAGAGACTCCGTCTTAAAAAATAAATAAATAAATACAAATTTAAAATTGTAGATAAAGACATTCTAAACATTATTTCATATCAGCATAGCAGAATCTGAAAATATTTGCATAAATATGACAATTAGTATCTTTAATATTTTAAAGCATTTTTACACTTTAGTTAGAAAAAAAGATGACTATACTAGTAGGAAAATGGGAAAACAGTCAAGGACATGAGCTGACAGCTAGAGCTTCATAATTTTATGATGTAGTTCACCTTTAAATATTAATAGAGCAATTTTCTTCTCTGTGCCTGATACCTGAGAGTTCTTTTCATTTCGTTCTTCAGGACAGTTTCTCTACGGAAGACTTTTCCAACTGTCTGTACCAGGACTTTAGAATTTCTCTTAGTCCTGTCCATAAATGTTCATTTTATAAAAATAACACCAAAGTGAGTTACGGGTTCCTCTCCCCACCACGTAAGTTTCTTCCTCTCCTGACCTTCCCTTTTCTTATCCTCTTCTCCTCCTTTTTGTTTTCTTTCTTGTTTATAAATCCTACCATACATTATTTATTGGTGAAAAATTGTGGATTTAGTCTATAACTACCAAGGGAAAAATTTTAATCCTCTAAAACTTGAATTTTATAAAATTTTCTTTTGGCTGGGGGGTAGTTGATTTAGTGCAGATGTGGTGAGCAGTATACTTCATGGTTCCTTATAACAGAATTTGAGAATACTGTGAAGTTGGAATATATATATATATCAAGTTGGAAGACTATATCAAGGTTCTTAGGAAGGAGATCTAACTTTGTTGTTTAAAAAGAAAATGAGATTGTCAGAGAAGTAGGTAAAGGTAGAGGCTTAAATAGTCTTGCTTTTTCACTGATCCAGAACCTCTAGGGAATGGCTTTTTTGAAGCTAAGTATACTATTTTTTGAAATGGCAAATTTGTATGTTGATGAGAAGCCATTTTGCGGCCAGCCTTAAAAGGCAAAAATCGAAAGCTGCAGGTGCTCAACTACCATCAGCATCCAGTTCAGTTCCCAGAGTGTGTGTCTGAAGTCAGAACTTGGCTATTGCATTATAAAAATAGACTAGGTCCAAGCCTCAGATTCATACAGAGAAGCCTTGTATGGCATTTCGAGACAGACATCCTGTGATGTTTTTTCTGGGTAGCAGGTGTTGTTCTGGAGCCAGAAGTTCTCTTTTTTCTTTTCACTGTGAAAAAGTGTAAGGAAAGAAGATTGTCAACACAATTCCTTTTAGTTGAAATAAGGTCAATAAAGTTTGAATATGTTTAATTTGGGGCTCTTGTTATTAAAGTTTATGTTTCTTTGACATGCTCATCTTGAAAAGCCTTAAATATCTTATTTTTGTAAAGGACTTGACTAAACACATTACATTTTCCCTTGACCCAGTACTTGGAAAAGTTTTTCAGGTTTAAGATGGTACTCAGCTAGTTTTTAAAAATGCTCGCCTCTGCCATGAGAAACTATAATTTCTTATGTCATTTGTGAAGAATGAAAAACTTGTCCTCTTTTCTCTTTGTAGAACTAAATAAAAATTCACGTGGAATATATTCTGAAGCTTTACTTACTACAAATATAGTGCCAATGTACCAGAGTTTTCAAGGTAAAAAAATGTTAACTCTATATTTGATAATTTTAATTAATTTCTGCACATATAGGCATAATTCATATGTAATAGGACTTATGGTCTAGATTAAATGAATTAATACCAAATACATTCTTAAAGGTTTAACTATGAGCATACTAGTACACAAAAATTCTACAAATATTAGAACTATCGTATATTCCAGTATCCATTCTGCTTTGTATTTAATTGTTTGCAAACATTTTTGGTGAGAAAGTATATGATGCGCTTCCTAAAGTTATTCAGCTAATACAGTCTGCTATCGCTTATATTAACTTTCATTTGGCTTCCTTATTTAACTTTTTGGAAGTTCTTGATAATTGTCTGTGCTTTCAAATGAATAGATTTTACACCATCATTAACTTGCAGCATTTGATTTTTACAGGAATAAAAATATAGTTACTTATATTGATGTATAGAATATCAAAATATAAGCATAAAAGGAGTTTTTACTCTAATTTATATCTAGAATACTTGTGAATATTTCAAAGTTAATATTCAGATATTAATAGGAAATCTGAATAATATGCCTCGTTTGTGTTTGCAATGTTGCTATGCTTAATGATGACATATGATCACAATTTGAACATGATGTACTTGTTCAGTGATGCCTCAAATAGAATTGGGTTCAACGTTTGTCTATGAGTCCTTTCAAAGGCCAAGGCTGAACAATGAAGTTTTGGCCTCACACTAAGATTGGAGCCAAGGCTGGGTGTGGTGACTCATGCTTGCAGTCCCAGCACTTTGGGGAGGCCAACTCAGAAGGACTGCTTGAGGCCAGGAGTTCAAGATCAGCCTGGAAAACAGTGAGACCCGGTCTCTAGTCTCTACAAAAAATTTTAATTAACTGGGCATGGTGATGTGCACCTGTAGTCCTAGCTATTCTAGAGACTGAGGCAGCAGCATCTCTTGACCCCAAGAGTTTGAGGCTGCAGTGAGCTATGATTGTGCCACTGCACTCCAGCCTGGGTGATATAGCAAGACCCTGTCTCTAAACAAAAAACAAAACAAAGACTGAAGCCAAACTTGACTTTATCTTTATTTACTATAAATGCTAATTTTGAATCATGGTGTTAGTTTATTTCACATGACAACATGGTACCTTGTTCTTTTGAAACTACACTGTCTTCTATCTCGTTTCAGTTATATGGCGCTACTTTCATGACACCCTACTGCGAAAGTATGCTGAAGAAAGAAATGGTGTCAATGTTGTCAGTGGTCCTGTGTTTGACTTTGATTATGATGGACGTTATGATTCCTTAGAGATTCTGAGGCAGTAAGAACATATTTCATTACTCTTAAAAATAGGAACCAAATGGGATTACCATCCAGTTGAGTCAACAGAACCCTTTTTACCCAGTGTCATATGTTTGTGTATGACATTTCTGACTACACAGGAATCCTTTTGAAATATCTGATCAATTTTGGCGTTTTGCTCAACATTCAGTAAAATATTTTTTAGGTAAAAGAAGTAGTGTTTCTCACCCATTCAGTTCAGTTGAGTAATTTTTGAGCTCAGTTTAAATGTTGAACTCATTTAAGATCTCTGTGTGGCTAATTGTTAAGGTATGATCTTAATATATTGTCATTCAGAAGATGAAGAACTCTATGGTGTGGCTACACATATCCTGAGTCTAGGAATGAATAGGGTTATAAAGCTGTAGTGCTTGGGAGTCTGGTGGCCTTGGGTGAATGTTACAGCTTTTACCCAACTCTGGCTGGAAGGGCATGATAAAAAGCAACTGTCTGAAGGAAACCATCGGTGGCGCTTTTTTAAAAAAAGAGAGGGAGAGAACATTTTGGAAACTGGTTGATCTTTATTAAAACAATAATTACAGTAGTTTGGGAAGCAATTTTGCTGTTAAGTCCGTAGGAAAAAGACTGAGATTCCACTGAGATTCATCCCCTCTGAGAACTTTCCTACTCTCCCAGGCTGACTTAGATATATGTGACTTACAATTACACCGGAGAGCACATCAATTTGTAAAGTTACAGTTTTTTACTTTCCCTTGAGGCATAAAGCTGCCTTAGAAACTGTAGCACTAGAGAGGATAAAGAAGAGAACTGCATATGCTTCCTACCCACGGCTTCGCCCAGAGCCCTCTGTTTAAATAGTTTTATAGATTATGATTCTACATAAGGTCATATTTGAAAACAATGATTCCACTACCTTAAGTTTTGGAAGATGTTAAAAAAACAAACAGCCTTAAAACAAAAAGAAATAGGAGAATGACTATGAGGTAAAGATATTTGGGACATCTTTGATAATATACTGCAGTTTAAAAGATTAAGTTACTAAGATAAGGAAGAAAATCCAGTTAGAACAAACAATTCATGACAACATGTCCTCTCTGAAGGGGCTGAAATAAAAAATTCCTAACCAGTTCTTTCTCTGCCCACTATTTGTCTATAATGGCCTAGAAGTTAAGACTATCGATAATGGTTTATACTCTTGGTCGTAGGTATTTAAAAATGGTATTTTCTTTTCTTTAGTGTTTCAATTTCAGTGTCTTTAAGTAGAACTAAAAGAATTCCAAAAGTCAATAAATTTCTACAGAAAACAAAAATTATTTGGACTGTATTTATCTGCCTATCTTCTAATTATTACTGTGAATCTGGCAGAATATGTTGAGGCATTGTGATTACTAGCTTCTTATATTTAATTATTTGTTTGAATTTGATTTTTATATGTATTAAAAGCATGCTCTACTGAAATAGTCATCAAAAGGAAGATAGTTATTTCTTTCTTAAAATGAATATTGGCATATTTTACAGAAAAAGAAGAGTCATCCGTAATCAAGAAATTTTGATTCCAACTCACTTCTTTATTGTGCTAACAAGCTGTAAAGATGCATCTCAGACTCCTTTGCACTGTGAAAACTTAGACACCTTAGCTTTCATTTTGCCTCACAGGACTGATAACAGTGAGAGCTGTGTTGTAAGTAGCTTTTGTATATTTACTTTGCGTGTTGAAAATCTAGACATACGCATATTTGTTTGTGTCATACATCTGACATTACAGTGAGAGAAAGCACAACTCTTGAGTATATATGGACTTTGAAATTACAGGATGCTTTTAAATTTGATCTTTTAAGATGACATATCTTTGGGGAAAACTACCCTTGTCTGCTTTTATTTTTCATTTTTTTTTTTTAGAGAGAGGGTCTTGCTATGTTGCCCAAGCAGGTCTTGAACTCCTGGCCTCAAATAATCCTCCTGCCTTGGCCTCCCAAAGTGCTGAGATTGCAGGCATGAGCCACCCTGCCTGGCCCCTTTGTCTGGTAAAGATACTAAAAATCAGATCAGAATCAAACTTTGTATGGCTTAACCACTAAAGCCTGGGTTTATCTGAAGTATGGATTTTCTCTTATTTCAAAACTGGATTTATAATTTCAAAGTGTCAGCACTGTTATAAATTAGTCTTAAAGTTGTTAGACAACATTTCAAATTTTCTATGTATCACTTAATTATAAAAAATATTTTCCTTTCTTATCCTATTGTCATACCAGTGTATTTGGGAATAATTGTTTTATATTATCTTATTTGCTCAGAATTTTAAAAATCTACATTGTAGATTGGGACATCATGACTGCATAACATTTTAGCTTTTTTTTTTCTTTTTTTTTTT